GTGGGAGGGGGGAGTGGGAGGGGGGACAAGGTTCCTACTATTCCTACTTACTTCTTCTTCTTGTGTTTGGCACTTTGTGATTCTCCACGCGAGGATTCCTGGGTCGCTGTGAGTGTACTCCCTCTCTGAGTGTCCTCTGTAGCAAACAAAAATATATATCAATTCTGATGTTTTTAGTTTTCTTCTGTAGTGAACAAGTTAAAGATGAGTTTCTATGAATGTTTTGATAACTTGACACGATTATCATCAGTGAATTTAAAACATGTAGAGTAAATAGTGAGAATAATGGACAAAATGACTACTATTTAATATTGAATTTCTCTATATCAAACCTACCTACAGTGGTGAATCCCTGTCTATTACAAACCTGTCTATATTGAATTTCTCTATATCAAACCTACCTACAGTAAATCCCTGTCTATTACAAACCTGTCTGTATCGAATTTCTTATATCAAACCTACCTACAGTGAATCCCTGTCTATTACAAACCTGTCTATATTGAATTTCTCTATATCAAACCTACCTACAGTAAATCCCTGTCTATTACAAACCTGTCTATATTGAATTTCTCTATATCAAACCTACCTACAGTGAATCCCTGTCTATTACAAACCTGTCTATATTGAATTTCTCTATATCAAACCTACCTACAGTGAATCCCTGCCTATTACAAACCTGTCTATATTGAATTTCTCTATATCAAACCTACCTACAGTGAATCCCTGCCTATTACAAACCTGTCTATATTGAATTTCTCTATATCAAACCTACCTACAGTGAATCCCTGTCTATTACAAACCTGTCTATATTGAACCTGTGTATAGTGAACTTCTATATAGAAAACCCTGTCTATAAAGAACAGGGTCAGTATTCATGAAACCCTTCTCGTGCTCAAGCATAAATTCTGTGCTCAAACCTATTTTCTTGTAACTGGCTTAAAATCATGTTTCATGGTCAAAAAGTAAAGTTTAAACCTCGTTAATGGTATTTGGCCCTTAATTTCTTTTGTTAGATTCTTCCAAATAATTGAAAAAATTTAACTAATTAATTTCTCACAGAGTAAGATATTGGACTTGAGCACAAAGTCTGAGTTTGAGCATGAGAATAGTTTCATGAATACAGGCCCAGGTCTATTTCAAACTGTTTCTAGCTAACCTTTATTAAACCTGTCTTTAGTGACCCTGTATATAGTAAACTTGTGTATAGTGAACCCCTGTATATAAACATTTATCTATAGTGAGCAACTGTTTATAGTGAATTATTGTTGATAGTGCTAGTCTATACTTTAACTATTTTAAAATTCCTTTACAAAGTGAATTCCTGTATTTAGCAAGTCACTGCCCATAAAGAATCCCTGTCTTTATTGAACTACTTCAAATAGCATATTCAATTCTTTAGCAAACCTTATAAGTCTATAGTGCAATAAAAATGGAATGATACCATCTGTTAAGTGATCTGTTTGCCTTAACTGTGAAGATACTAGTTGTAATTATAGAGTTATGCCCCTTACCTGATCCTAGACACATACGAGTTGGTACGCTCAGAGCTTTACTTCCTGGCCGTTGATATCTGTACAAGGCAGAATGTCGCAGGTTACTTGAATCCATGAAGGTCATTTCTTCATCCTCGTCATCAATCTCATCATGGGCACTATTATCTGCACTGTTGCTGAAACTTGACACGTAGCTTTCCGACTGTCGGCTGTAACCCCGTAATGTGTTGGAGTGTCGTCCGGCTGAGTAGCGGTCATCTAATGCACGTAATAACAGCTTACAGAGCTTAAATTCACGGAACAGTTGTGTGCTGAAAAGACAAAGGTAATGTTGAGGGATTAATATCATTCTTCAGCAGTCCAACTTTTATTATTGTAAACTCTTGATTGCTCCATTTTCCTCCTACCTCTTCATATGCAAGATACACATGTTCAATGTGGGCACCCATGGGAGATAACTCTGTCCCCTACATCAGAATTCTTCTGTCTACACTCAAGTGTAAAGACAAGCTATATACAAATCCATTTAGTTTTAAAGCTGCCAAATACAAGGCTTCTAGCAACTGGCATCTTAAGAATCTTTCCCTGGGCGTTAAGATCCCCCCATCTTACCCCCAAGGGGTGAAAGATTCTATTTTTGTTCTACTAGTGACCTTGTTATATATGCATAGTTGATGTTTCATCATATAATTGCTGTGACTTGTAAATCACCTCATCTCAACCATTTGGTGACACTTATAGAACTTTTCACACCCATGGGAGTGAGATTTGGGATCTCAACCCTCGGGGAGAGATTCTTAAGTTGCCAAGAGTTTGCCAAGTGTTTGGCAACTTAAGAATCTTTCCCCGAGGGTTGAGATTCATTCTTGTTCTCTCACCCTGTAGACCCTATCAAGTATATAATGCAATGTTGATGTTACAGGCTTGATGCATTGTTGATGCTACATTAATGAATTACTGTTGATGTGACGTTAATGAATTGTTGTTGATGTGACGTCAATGAATTATTGTTGATGTGACGTTAATGAGTTGTTGTTGATGTGACGTTAATGATTGTTGTTGATGTGACGTTTATGAGTTGTTATTGATGTGACGTTAATGAATTGTTGTTGATGTGACATTAATGAATTGTTGTTGATGTGATGTTAATGAATTGTTGTTGATGTGACATTAAAGAATTGTTGTTGATGTGATGTTAATGAATTGTTGTTGATGTGGCGTTAATGAGTTGTTGTTGATGGGATGTTAATGAATTGTTGTTGATGTGATGTTAATGGATTGTTGTTGATGTGACGTTATTAAGTTGTTGTTGATGTGATGTTAATGGATTGTTGTTGATGTGACGTTTATGAGTTGTTATTGATGTGACGTTAATGAATTGTTGTTGATGTGAAGTTAATGAATTGTTGTTGATGCGATGTTAATGAATTGTTGTTGATGTGGCGTTAATGAGTTGTTGTTGATGTTATGTTAATGAATTGTTGTTGATGCGATGTTAATGAATTGTTGTTGATGCGATGTTAATGAATTGTTGTTGATGCGATGTTAATGAATTGTTGTTGATGCGATGTTAATGAATTGTTGTTGATGTGGCGTTAATGAGTTGTTGTTGATGTTATGTTAATGAATTGTTGTTGATGCGATGTTAATGAATTGTTGTTGATGCGATGTTAATGAATTGTTGTTGATGCGATGTTAATGAATTGTTGTTGATGCGATGTTAATGAATTGTTGTTGATGCGATGTTAATGAATTGTTGTTGATGCGATGTTAATGAATTGTTGTTGATGCGATGTTAATGAATTGTTGTTGATGCGATGTTAATGAATTGTTGTTGATGCGATGTTAATGAATTGTTGTTGATGCGATGTTAATGAATTGTTGTTGATGTGGCGTTAATGAGTTGTTGTTGATGTTATGTTAATGAATTGTTGTTGATGTGGCGTTAATGAGTTGTTGTTGATGTGATGTTAATGGATTGTTGTTGATGTGACGTTATTAAGTTGTTGTTGATGTGATGTTAATGAATTTTTGTTGATGTGACGTTAATGATTGTTGTTGATGTGACGTTAACGAATTGTTGTTGATATGACGTTAATGAGTTGTTGTTGATGTTATGTTAATGAATTGTTGTTGATGTGCCGTTAATGAATTGTTGTTGATCTGATGTTAATGAATTGTTGTTCATGTGACGTTAATGAGTTGTTGTTGATGTGATGTTAATGAGTTGTTGATGTGACGTTAATGCATTGTTGTTTATGAGACGTCATATCATTGTTATGAAAGGGAAATCCACCACCGTCTCAACCCTAATGTGAGCCAAGAATTTCTCTGGACAGGTTTACTCATACTTTTCCCCATATGAGAGAAATTCTTGGCTCACATTAGTGTTGAAATAAGGGGTCTCTCCTTAGTGTTGAGACAAGGGGAATCACCTTAGTGTTGAGACAAGAAGTCTCACCTTAGTGTTGAGACAAGAGATATCACCTTAGTGTTGAGACAAGGTGTATCACCTTAGTGCTGAGACAAGGGGTAGCACCTTAGTGTTGAGACAAGGTGTATCACCTTAGTGTTGAGACAAGGGGTCTCACCTTAGTGTTGAGACAAGGGGTCTCACCTTAGTGCTGAAACAAGGGAATTCCCCTCTCACATTTAAGTGTTTGTATGTCATCACCTCAACTATGCTTCAACGTAACATTAGCATTCACATACACAGTAAGGGGAAGTTACGAAGGATCCGAAATCGTGATCTGTTAAGAATTTTTATCTCATCATCAACATTATCTTAATTAGCACCTCTGTTTACCCGAACCTCTCTTTGACAATATGTTTTGGCCCAAAAGCACATCCATGTACAAACAATCTACCTGTCTCGTATGTGTAAAATTTCGGGAAATAAAAGATGTAATTTAGATTGATTCGTTCCTCGTGCACATAAGTACACTGTTTACTTATAAGGTCAATAAGGTGATACATTTAACTGTGACCTGCATTGAGTACAAATACAGAAGATCTACACACATGCTTCACCATTTAGTACATTTAATGTAGGTATACAAAATATACACATGTACAATAACTTTAGATTTTGCTTGTGTACAATTGCGGGTTCGGGCTTAAGATGTCTCGCGTTACCCCGGGGGATTACCAATACCACCTAACACTTTCTATACAGCACTGAAGGTAAATACCGGAATCAATGGCTGGTCTTTGTTAGAACCAGTAATGGGATAGGAATGCTTTCTCCGTCTGTTAAAGTTTAGTCAACAATTGACAAGGTTACAATTAACCAATATATGAAGTCTTCTCAGTTATCAGAATACCTCAACAACCGACAGATAAACTAACAATCATTGGTACAATTCTAGTTCCCTGTAATTTATAATTAGGTTGAGAATTTCTTTTACAAACAGTGTGATTTTTAAAAAAAAATGTGGAGTTTTTATTGTTTGTTATCATAGACATTCTTTTAAAAATAAAGTGAGAACAATTTTTTTAAAGTAAATGTATTGTGTTTGATGTAATTAATGCCAAGGGTGCTTGAAAGTGTTGGCTGAAGGGGACACTTACTCAAGAAAAAACCCATTAATTATGTCAGTTGGTGTATATAATGGCGACATAACTGTCCGACACATTCCCAAAGAGAATTAAAAAATTGTTTGCTCTTGTTCCAAAAAATCCGGAAGACAGTCATGATTGTGAGACTGAAAAGTCTGACATAAAGTGTATAGCACGGTAAAACCTTGATATAATGCCCTTCATTTCTTTGCCACCTCACTTACCGCCAACATACTTTAAGGTATATTTTTCTCTTTTTGTTAAGAATTCCTTTATAATTTTATGTTTACCTCATTTTATCGCCAAATCCCTTTATAATGATGAAGTTTCTCTGAACAAAGGGTGGCAGTATAACGAGGATTTTGTTAACCGAAACAGGCCAGACAGAAGGGTAGGTTTGGGAGACGAGATGCATAGTTATATCATTTCAGTAAGTGAGGAAAGATGGTAGAGACACTAATAACAGCAACATGGTACAGAGGCTGAATTAAACACTTAAAATTCCAAAACAATGGCAAAACCTGCCTGAATAGAAAAACCTGTCTAGAGAGGACACCTGCCTTTAGAGATCACCTTTCTAGAGAGACCATATGCCTTACAGAAAACCTGTTCTCATATATCACTAATCTTGAAAGACTTCACACATCATTTGATTGCATCTGTCAACAGAAAATGTCTTTTGAATATCCATCAACAGGTTTTGTACAAATAGAAACAGGTAAAAAATCAGTAGCACCCGTGGAAAGGTAAACAAATGGTCAATTCATACACAGGTAAGTAATTTGTTGGAAAATACACAGGTAAGTGATTGGTTGGAAAATACACAGGTAAGTGATTGGTTGGACCATACACAGGTAAATAACCCAAAAGACCTGTTTATGTCTGATAAATCACGAGAAGAGTGAAATACATATATACAACATGTTTATTAATGTCACATAATCAAGGCATGAATACATTATCACACAAGTTACACACAAACACATTTGGCGATAGGGGCAAACTCAGCTATAAGATATACTATTTGCTGACCTTTGTTCTTCCTAACAGGTAATGCTTATAAAGATCTAGATGATAACACAAAGTTGTATCATAACATGATATGTAGGATTATAAGGAACAAAGGCCACATATAGCATGTACTGTGTTGGGTACTTTCAACAATCTCAACTCGGTGTAGGCAAGCGGATCTAGACTATATATGGGTAGTCTGGCTACACGTGTATATAGTGCTAGGCATAACTATAAGAGCCGGAAGAGACTGGTTGAATCGATACCCCTCAACTCGGTGTAAGGATGCTACAAGAGCCGGAAGAGGGGTATGCCCTTGACTGAAGATCAATCCTTCTCAACTCGGTGTAGGCGAGCAGATCTAGACTATATTAATATACGGGTAGTCTGGCTACTTCAAATATATAGTGCTAGGCATAACTACAAGAGCCGGATGAGAATTCCTGATAGCAGATTGTGAGTAGAATCAACATCCTCAACTCGGTGTAGCTGATAAGCTATCTAGACCCGGAAGAGGAGAAGAATTGATGAGCCATATCCTCAACTCGGTGTAGCTGTGCTTGCCACAAGATCCGGAAGAGGATATAAACTGAATCGATAAGTTGAAATTGAAGTTGGGTCTAAATAACCCTATGAATAAATTATGAAGTATTAAAATTTTGGGGAATTTAAGTATTAATATATGTATGAATACTTAAAATATGCCCATGCCTATAAACCCTACCTGAGGCTGAGTTTGCCTAAATTAAAACACGATAATGTTGCATGTATACATATTATGACAATGAGCTTATTCTAATACTTGCATATATACTAGTACTATGTGTAAGCATATCTTACTTAATCCATGAATTCATGTATCTGGCTATCTTGGGTGGTTCCAAGCTTGTTACATCTACTAACAGGGTATACCTATATAATATACGACACTTGCATGTTGAGTAAATAAGTCCAGGTTGTGTGGAGGGGATGGTGGTGGTATCAAATAGATCAGTGGTTACGGAGGCTGTACCAAACTGAATGACTGTTCTTTGTGTGGACTGACCAATCAGCTGTGATTACGCTCAGGCCTCTACTCTGGACATAGGCCCCTTCTCTGGACATATATCTGATAGCCCCCATGCTGGACATGCATGTTGACCATATAGTGTACATGTGTGGTCAGTCTGAATATATCTGTTATTGCTGTTTAGTATGTTTGCTTAGGTTGGAATACTTATTTGTCAACATATACCTGGTTTATCTTCATAAACCTTAATATACAGGTAAATAATCAGGACCTGAAGACATTATCTTATTTAGGTACAATTTGCTCTTGTGGAATTTTATTATTTTCTTTGTGGTATTTTTTAACTTGTTACTGTGTAAATTAGTTAATTGTTGTAAAGTATCAATAACTTGAAGAAAAAAAATGAACTAAAGAGAGAAAATTAAAGAACAAAGTTAAAAATACCTTGTTTGAAATGGGTAAACATTGAAAATGACAAAGAAATTTGGACTAATTCATAATTTGACAGCTTTTAAAAAGGCCCTAATTTGTTTCTCCACTTTCAGTTCAAACACATAGCTACACCTTCATATAGGTTGTTAGGCAGAAGTCTAGTTGTTTCAAAGTTGAATCAGCTTAAACAAAACATTACAACATTTCAATGTTGAACATTTAAAACACATCTAATTGAAATTGAACATTTTTTAAGACTACAGACAAACTTATTGAAAGTAATGAACACTATGATATGAATTTTGTTTAAATTTTTCAGAAATTATGAAGAAAAAATGGCACTTCAACATTTTTCTTTGAGACTCTGTAAGCTAACGATGCTTTAAGTGATTAAGCCCTGACACAGGTGATGTAGAGTATTATAAGAGGAATTCGGATGATAGGCAGATCTCTAGTGTTATAAATAAACGACTTGAAATGTTTACCTATACGATATAACACAGCTAACACCCAGGCAGGAGGCCATTGTCAAATACCCTGCATTGCGTGTTGGCAAATAAAAGCGACATTTAATTTGAAATCCGTTTGAAACATGAAAATGAACTGAAAAACATTTGTCACATTCTACATTTTTTTTGTAAACAGAACCGTTTAGATATTTGCACAGAAGTTTTGAATGTAAAGGAAACCTATTTGGCGACAATAAATCAATGTCACAAAAATGTTTGGCACTCCTGTCAATGATAACAATTTTTCATTTTTTATTTGAATTTTATTTTTGGCAAATTGTTCCAGCTCAAGTCGCAGGCTTGGCACAAAGAAGAAAAATAATGTCAATACTAGATTGAGAGTAGTTTATAGACCGCTATGTAAATGTTGTGCTTGTATATTATTAGTTTTTTAATGGGATCTATATTTTTCTTTTTGAGAAATGCATCAGGCACTAGAGGAGGGGGAAGGGTTTAAAAGATTAAGACTAAGGGGGTTGATCGATGTAGGGGGGCGGGGAGGGATTTTATGATTTTAACAACTATCATCACAACAAATATGTTTTTTAGCTTACTAGGGGGGAGGGGGGAAGAATATTATTCCCTTAAATTTTCCATAAATACTTGTATCTTTATGTATAAGGCTTATTGTCCAATCCATAATTTTCAGAACCCATTTAAATTCGGTATTACAAGAGAACACTTAGAAAATCAAGATCCCATTTTTAATTATTTCATTTCAATTTTATAACAATGATAATCAGACATTGTGTTCCATTCTTTGTCTGAATTCAATACTATATAAACCTATATAATCTAATGATTCACTACGATAACGATACTAAATCACGTATTTTGTGTTGGTAAAGGTCATCATCACTTAGCCATCAGACACGCCCCATTGGACAAGAGATGGCCGTGCTGATTGGACAGTCACAGGATGTTATAATCGTACTGTTCCCATTACCGATTATCAAAGGGAACAAAACACGTCCCCCGAAGCGTAACCTATCATACCACTTTACAACGTTTAATCTTAAACTGAGATTTAAATTGATCCTAACAGAGGTTTACTAACAGGAAGGAGCTCTGCTAGCCAGAGTGGGATACACACTGTACATGTATTACAGTGTTAGATATGGAGATGGTACGACTTATATAATCAAATACAGGACAGACGACAAGTAAAATCAGAGGTTGGACACTTTGATGTGAAGCCACGATAATGTTTCTCAAACCAAAATGTATGATTTTAAAAATTGTTCTAAAGCAAATAATCTTGAGTCAAGTCAATCATAAATTTATTTCGTAAAATTAGAGCCTTTTGATATGATAAATGTCTCACCTCGAGTATGTTAGGGCGTTCTCGTAATAAATTATACTCGACATTCTAACCTCTCTTAAAAATGCTATAAATCTTGAGTGTTACCTGCCGACAGGTGAGAATACATTGATTAATGATAGCAGCCTGACTTTTACAACCAAAGATTAATACGTAAGGGGAATATCAGAACACAGAAACCACCCAATTTTAACATCACGAGATCATAAAAGATAGCATGATCATGTTACTTTCCATACGACTATATTGTATTTCAGCATTACATTAAAACTTCACCATGCGTCATAGCAAAGCATTAAAAAATATAAAAACAAATAAATAAACTGTAATAAGATTTAAGTGTAAATATATGCGTTCGCTGGGGATCAGACCTGAGAACCCAGACTTTCAAGTCAAACACTGAGCTGAAGGGAAACTCCTCCTATTAGCCAAGGTGACTATGACACTATATACAATGCACATCATTTACACTACTCCGCCCCCCCCCCCACTTTTTCCAAGTCCTTGCCCTAAAAGACAACCATAACCCAGGTTCTTTTGCTCCCCATTAAGAATTCTCCTCTTCCTTCAACAGGAAGGGTTAATGGCACCAGTTTGTTATAGGAATAATGAAGTCCACCATGGCCTTCATATTACCATGCTACACCAGTATGTGCCCTTGCTGGGGAATCGAACCCACGACCTCAGACTTTCTAGACGGACGCTCTACCGCTAAGCTGAAGGGAAATTCTCTATATACAAAGCTAGTGCGGTGTCTTTAACAACAAGTACAATTCACATATTTTACATACACTAATATAGGTGCATAGCATACATTTGAAAATCTTTGTAAAAATAGCACAGTGCAAGATTATGATGGCAAACCACAGATGATTTGTTGACGGTAATATAGATTTCTCCCACAACCACTTAAGGTTACCTCACTCCAGACTCTGATTTTAGTTATTACCCACTAGTGGGTAACATCCTTGACATTATTTCACTAGTTAGTCTTCTTATTATGACGTCAGGTAACAACATGTTGCGACGTCATTTTCTATAGTGACATCATAGTTCATGGCAACTGATCGGAAACAGGAATGATCAAAGAAACGTATGGTTTTCTAGATATGATATCTGATCGTTGTGGTAGAAAAAGGTCCCCAAACTCTTGATCGTTGATTATCATGTTTATCTAACTCTCGTTAGTTAATTTTAAAATTTCAAAAGACCCTCAGTTAAACTCGTATCTTTAAACAAATTGAAGTTTAACTAACTCGAGTTAGATAAACAGGATAACCAACCATCACTTGTATGGGAACCTCTATATAGCATATACAACACTATGAGGTAGAACGGTACCCACCTGAGGAAGAGAGGCAGCCTTTCCTCGCGTGCCCACACCAATAACTGATCCCGTTCCTCATCTGTTGGGGCGTACTGGAGCGTCCGATCTGACGACCCAGACGAGGCCCGATTACCATCGTTGTCAGTGTAGTTCACCTCCTCAAATGACCCCGTCAGCCGGTTATAGGTGGTGGCGATCGGGAAAACCTACAAAAATGTTAATACATTTCGTACATTTTTATTTTGGTGACAGATTTACAAATATAACTTGTCTACCATTGAAACAGTACACATGTCTGTGATAATAAAAACCCACCTGTGTCAATTTTGTTTTAGTTTTTTTGGGTTTCACTACTAAACTGGCATAGTGTATGAGGGATACAAACAGGAACTTTCAACAAATGTATAGATAGATTTCTTGTGATGTTTTTTAAGTTTATATAAAATTTAATGCCAACTTTTATTTAAAGCCTATTTGTTGTCCAGTGTGAGCAGATGACTAGACACAATGTATTCCAACTTATCGACACTTTTACGTCCAATCAGTTACATATTGACGATATATAAATATGCATGTTTGTAAAATGATAATAACATCCAGAAAACTTTGACAGCTTACTGACAGGGATGTATTATTTATTTATCATCTCTGAGAATTTAAAACTTCAATATTTGTTATTATGAATCTAATACCTATACAAGGACCAATCAGGGCAGAAAATCTATTTACGAAACGTTTGAACACCTGTGACCCTAAACATGTCTGAACTAATTCAAAATGAAATATTCATTTCCTGTGTAACAATTAGAACCAGCATTATGAATAAACTCCCCTTTTCGTGGCTACCTTTATTAGTTTTACAGCGTAAAATATTCTGTACGACAGTGTAAATTACTCACAAGGTTTTTCTCCCGTCAATAAAAGCTATTTTTTACTATGCTAATTCTAATAAAATTTTAATAATGTCTGCATAAGTTTACCTTCTTTTTTTTTTTAATGAAAACATCAAACATCTGAAAGAAGATCTCGTATTTTTTCTTAAAATCGTACCTCAATATTCATGCACTTCCATTACAAATTCTTGATTTACTCAAGTGATATATATTAAAGATTGGCACACCACCACAGATTTAAAACCCCAAATCAAATCTAAAGCCTTGAATGTATAACTGGAAACTTATTTCTCAGTCCTCAAATTTAACTGAGAGATACACTCATAAGTTGACTCGCCTCAGACTTAAATTAAAAAGTTGCATCACTATAGACTTAAATGTTATATCACCTACCTGAGACTCAAACTTAAAAATTGCAATACCACCAACTTAAACTAAATGTAGTATGTACTTATCATCTTCAACTTAACTCATTCACCCCTGAAATTTCATATTGAACTATTCCAACCTTTGACGTGGAAGAGTTCAAATACCTGTAATGTGTCTTCAGGGGCGAATGAGTTAAACTAATGAGCTATATCTCCTTAAACTTAAAAGTCATACATTTATCTCCTAAGACTTAAAATTTACACCATCTCCGATTTAAGATTTAAAATTCATATATCGATCCTTAGACTTTTGAAGGAAATCAACTCCATGTTCTAATTTGAGACCATAAAATGTTTGTTTTTGTTATTTTCAAATTGTTTGTGTTTGATTATGACAATAAAGCAAGCAGACACATTCAGTTCATGTGAATACGGATCAAAACCTGTGGAATTCCATCTGAAGAAAAAATAATTCCTGAATAAATATATGATTGATAAATGTTTTCATTTGGTTACAACACATAAGAACATCCACCTGGTAACAGTTTGTAGGGTACAGTATGTAGGAGTGGATCACGGATCAAAGATTTTAAAATTGTATTAACGGGTAAATCTCCCGTCCTTATCAACGATCGTAGGTTATCAGTATGTGATGTTCCGTCCAATGTAATACATATCAAAACTTGTCAAACACGACAAGGTTTTCTATTTCCCTCTTTTACGTAGTACATTATTGTAAACAGCATGTATACAGTATAATTATCGGTGACAGGCATGTACTGTAGGTTACCGTGAACGGTGTGTACCATATATTATCAGCGATCAGCATGTTCTGTATATTACCGTTGATCAACATGTTCTGTATGTTATCGGTAATCAGAAGTTTAATACACATCCGTCTATAGCCCAGTACTCGTCTCCCCCACTTTCTAAGGACCTACCTATGGAGTGTCCACAGGTAACTTGCTGTTTTACTAGTGTTAATGACTACTTGTCTTACTAGGGATCAGGCGGGTAACAAATGGGTTGTTGTGTAAGTGTGGGTGATGTTTGTGGGTACTCGTTCATGGGTCACAGACCTGGATGTGAGTATCAGAGGTACAATTTAGCTCTTCTAGGGGGTTCTGAGAACACATACACCTACCCCCAGCCATATCCCTAGAAAAGTTTTGAAAACTGTTTATTTTTGTACACCTCTTTAACTAGTGTAACAGAACTGGACAGGGTTGATCATCGGCGACCAAGTAGCTCAATTGGTAGAGTGTCCGTCTAAAGTTTGGAGGGTCCCAGGTTCAAATCCCAGTCTGGCAGTTGCATTTTCTCTTTCTCCTGTTACAAAATTGTTGAGCTTGCCAACCTTTGTTTCAAGCACTGGGTGAATACTAGCTTGGCAAGGGGATACTTGAAACTATTGTAAATAGTTGTGTTTTCGGGGGCAAAGACTTAAAAAAAGGAGAGAGGAATGTAGCTGAACTGGACTGGGTCGATAATGTCGGGGACCAAGTAGCTCAATTCGTAGTGTCCATCTAGAGTTCGGAAGGTTCCAGATTTGAACGCAGAAACGTTCGCATTGCGACTCTTTAAACTGAACACAGTATGGAAATGTTCACGTTGACAATGTCTCTATATATTATAATCTATTATGAATATTTGCATGTGGCTATTTTTTCACAAATTGAGGAACGTGAAAAATGCGAGCATTTTCCCACCAAAATATTTTCCATTTTTACAGGATATTGTTTATTACTGTACACCTGTTTTATCTTGGATAACAAGCTGAAAGCTTTAAGTACATATCGCAGATGTGATCAATAGACACGGGCACGTGGCAATAATACAGGTAACACAATCGCTTGATTACAGTAAGGCCCTAATTCCCCCCTACATACCTGGGTCGGTCTGTAAAGTCATTACCCTATCAACATATAGGTTTAGTAAAGGAAAATCTGTGTCATTATTGACCCAAACAGTGTAATACCGGTAGGTATATACAAAACCTTCCCGACACCATAGGCCATTCAAACCAACACTGAATGATGTCCCTATATTTAACTGTAGGTATTACAGGTAAAAACAGAAATACAATGGTTTGTTGATATGTAAACAACATGTGAGTAAAAGTAAACAGTTTTCATATAACAAAAGGAAGAAAATCATTGATTTTTGTTTTCTTTGTTACATGAGGTAAAAAAATTACAAGCATTCCTTCTTTTTTTAATTATTCCATATTCTATATATACCTGCTACAATGGGCAGTAAAGCTCCCATGCCTTACACCTATAACCTACATATAACCTCACCTAGGCTCACACCAATTTCTATGTAGATTTCTATATGACAGGGGTATAGCTAGCCCTTACCCCAGGAGGATTTATTTCAGAGCAGGTGAGGGGCAGGGTATGTGGCCGGGACAAAGCCCTCCACACCCTGCCACCCCGACAGAAAAAAATATTCTTATTTTAAAATCTGTCACAAGATCAGTTTCCAGAGGGTAAATTGCACGAAGTAATAGCAAAATTGAGACTTTCTACAATAAAATGATATTTTAATTGTATTTATAATTTCTGATTACAAATTCAGTGTGCCACAATCACATGCAGTGTTTTTTGTGGTTTTTTTTTATTGCTTTATTTAAAAATTTGGGCGATTCACCTGCTTACCTGCGTTCAGGCAACTTCACACCTGTAGGTGTATGACTACAGGCATTTACCATGAGAAATCTGTTTTATAGATACCATTTTTGCAATTTGAGAGAAAAATTGTTTAGCTCAATTAAGAATGAGTCTGTAACAACAGACTTTTAAAGGAAGGTGATAAACCCCTGGCCTTGTTTATTGGTATACAATTGTTGTTTTATCAGTTTAGAATACATTTCAACTTAACAGAAATCTCCCTTCCCCCATTCACCTGTAATACTTCTCAATATCTTTATAACAGTTGTATTAGATTTTAAAACACGCCCCAGACAGCTGGTAGCACATTTAGTTAAGATATACACAGTCTACATACCCCACCTCACACATTACCGACAGATTGGATTTCCATTGTAAGTAAAACATAAACCTTATATCACACTTTTAAGGACACACATCTATAATTTAACACTTAGCCTCGGAGTCTTTCTTATACATTAGTTTATATACACATATAAGTGACAGGTAAGTATGACCAGGTAAATATTCCTATCGTAAGAAGCCAAAACTGGTTCTAAAATGAAGTCTACCAGGAAAATGTATATCAAAAATAAAATTAAAAAAATAATTTATTTTAGAAAATTTGGTTCCTTACGCCCCAAATAATTATATATATGTTTCAGTACCTCAACCGACCCTAGTTTTTACCGCCAACCCTAACTATTTTATCTCACTCGAACGTACTCTATCCAGTGTTGAGGTAAGTTGTCCACCAAATACAAAACAATCGATGGACAAACAACCAAATTATGTTTGTAGATATTTGTAACTTCTGAAATAAGCCTCCCCACCCCACAAAAAAAAAGAATAAAAATAAATAAATCCCAATCGACATACCCTATTCTTTTCAGTCATTTTGCCTGAAATATACATTTGTTTTGGCCTTAAAGAAATACAATATTAGCATGTAGCTTTTCACATAACTTGCAATGAGGGATAATGTCTTTAAAATTGCCACTAGAAATATGATGAATGAACTTTAGTAAGTTGATGTCGAGACAGCCAAGCAAAGTAAACTGTTTCTTTCTGCACCATATGGTTATTTCGTCTACTAAGGACACATCTGTGATGCTTAAAGTCAAAAGAATGAAAACCGGTATCTGAAGTCACTAAATCTGTTTCTGCATGACGTCACTAAATCTGTTTCTGCATGACGTCACTAAATCTGTTTCTGCTTGACGTCACTAAATCTGTTTCTGCATGACGTCACTAAATCTGTGACTGAAGTGTTCTGAAAATCTGTGTCTGAGAAGTGTTCTGAAAATCTGTATCTGAAGTGTTCTGAAAATCTGTGTCTGAGAATCAAAGTGTTCTGAAAATCTGTGTCCGAAGTGTTCTGAAAATCTGTGTCCGAAGTGTTCTGAAAATCTGTAACTGAAGTGTTCTGAGAATCTGTGTCTGGAGTGTTCTGAGAATCTGTGTCTGAAGTGTTCTGAAAATCTGTGTCTGAAGTGTTCTAAAACATATGTAGAAATACAAGGCAATGGGAAACATGTCTACATGCAAAACATATGTAATTATATATAATGTTACAAAATTTATTCGTAGAATATTATTACACATTAACCCTCAGAATTGATTCCAGGTACATGGTGACAGACCATTGCCACTTACATTGAGGGCCAGGAAGGCCATGGTTACAGACCATTGCCACTTACATTGAGGGCCAAAAAGGCCATGGTTACAGACCATTGCCACTAACATTGAGGGCCAGGAAGGCCATGGTTACAGACCATTGCCACTTACAGTGAGGGCCAGGAAGGCCATGGTTACAGACCATTGTCTCTTACATTGAGGGCCAGGAAGGCCATGGTTACAGTCCATTGCCACTTACATTGAGGGCCAGGAAGGCCACGGTTACAGACCATTGCCACTTACATTGAGGGACAGGAAGGCCATGGTTACAGACCATTGCCACTTACATTGAGGCACAGGAAGGCCATGGTTACAGACCATTGCCACCTACATTGAGGGCCAGGAAGGCCATGGTTACAGACCATAGCCACTTACATTGAGGGCCAGGAAGGCCATGGGGGGAGACCATTGCCACTTACATTGAGGGCCAGGAAGGCCACGGTTACAGACCATTGCCACTTACATTGAGGGACAGGAAGGCCATGGTTACAGACCATTGCCACCTACATTGAGGGCCAGGAAGGCCATGCTTACAGACCATTGCCACTTACATTGAGGGCCAGAAAGGCAAAGGTTAAAGACCATTGCCACTTACATTGAGGGCCAGGAGGGCCATGGTTACAGACCATTGCCACTTACATTGAGAGCCAGGAAGGCCATGGTTACAGACCATAGCCACTTACATTGAGGGCCAGGAAGGCCATCGTAACAGACCATTGCCACTTACATTGAGGGTCAGGAAGGCCATGGTTACAGCCCATTGCCACCTACATTGAGGGCCAGGAAGGCCATGGTTACAGTCCATTGCCACTTACATTGAGGGCCAGGAAGGCAATGGTTACAGACCATTGTCACTTACATTGAGGGCCAGGAAGACCATGGTTACAGACCATTGCCACTTACATTGAGGTCCAAAAAGGCCATGGTTACAGACCATTGCCACTAACATTGAGGGCCAGGAAGGCCATGGCTACAGACCATTGCCACTTACATTGAGGGCCAAAAAGGCCATGGTTACAGACCATTGCCACTTACAGTGAGGGCCAGGAAGGCCATGGTTACAGACCATTACCACTTACATTGAGGGCCAGGAAGGCCATGGGGGGAGACCATTGCCACTTACATTGAGGGCCAGGAGGGCCATGGTTACAGACCATTGCCACTTACATTGAGGTCCAAAAAGGCCATGGTTACAGACCATTGCCACTAACATTGATGGCCAGGAAGGCCATGGTTACAGACCATTGCCACCTACAAGGAGGGCAAGGAAGGACATGGTTACAGACCATAGCCACTTACATTGAGGGCCAGGAAGGCCATGGGGGGAGACCATTGCCACTTACATTGAGGGCCAGGAGGGCCATGGTTACAGACCATTGCCACTTACATTGAGGGCCAGGAAGGCATTGAAGTAGTCCAGGAAGAGATCATCGTAGGCCAATAAGTCCTCAAAGTTCTCCCCTGTGATGTCTAGGGCTGAAATATACAAACAAACAAACATTAATTTTATATATCTATTTATAGACAGAAACCAGATCCTTTTTTACTTCAATATTCTAGATATTATGTATTCCAAGAAATCCCACAAGGGTCTTTTACCTCCAAAACAGTTGGTTGTATCCCCAGTTGTCAAGAACTGTCTATGCAACTAAGGACCAAGGAAATGTAAGTAAGGGCCTAGGAAAACAGAATCTCGTAAACGTGTTGCGCACATCCCCAAATCTAAAATTCATTGGGAGCAATGTATATATACTAGTAGAAATATAACTTAACCCTTTCACCACTGTAGACCATAAAAGACTCATCCCGATCAATGCATGGAAGAGTTTACTAAAGTAACACAGGGGTGAAAGGGTTAATTCCTATATTACATGTTGTAGTAAACTCGAGGCTAGCTTCAATATGATTGGGCTAAAATACACATGGTTATATGTGATTGCGAGTATTTCTCACATGAGAATGTCACACTCCAGAATCATCCTGAGGCTTGACCCACCTGTGTTATAACTAAAGCATGTCCATACTGTCCAGGGTATGGTGGTCAGTGTCCCGAGACTATCATTAGTATCAATATCGTCTCTTTCACTCATTAAAGGAGTCACCCTCACCTGTATACCAGACATTGTTCACGCTACTCTGATGTGTTTGGAACCAAAACCAAAACTTAAGTCTGTCGATATCGTCAGGCCACAAAAAAAAAAATCATTGTTTTCTCCATTTACAATCTTTTAACAGTTAAAATAAGATGATTATTGGGCCGAAACGTTATTTGAAAAAGATATTTGCCAACACATAATAATCTACTACTTCAACAGTTTAAGTGAAACAATCAAATCTCTTATGAATAGGGTCAATAGTAATGGAATATAAAAAAATCTTATTTGTTTTGTTTTGCCTGATATTTCTATCCTTCAAAGGATTGGATAGAATTATAATACGGCATTCTAGGTTTTTAAGGACTTGAGAATTAAAGATCAATATCCTCCTGTCAGTTAGACAGACATGACAGTAGCCTAGTTCTAGGGGATTGTTCTGGTATTGATGGATCCTGCAAAGTTTACAGATCAATTTTAATGTTTCTTGGATATGCTTATATTAAGGCTAAGCAACATTTGAAACAAGATCATACAGGGTCCTATGTCATGCATGGCTAAGTCCATACAGGGTCAATGTCTTACAGGGTCAAATGTCACACAAGGTCAATGTCTTACAGGGTCAAATGTCATACAGGTCCAATATCATACATGTCCATTATCATACACATCATACAGATCAATTTCATGCAGATTCAATGCCACATAGAACTAAGGTCATACAGAGGCAAGGTCATAAAGAGCCAATTCAAGGTCATGAGAGACAAAAAATATACAGGGCCTATAATATCATACTGTGCCAGTGTCAAGCAGTGCAAACCACTGTAATTTATTTTTATTCATGTGTAAACCAAATAAGAAATATACTAAAATCTTAATTATTTCCCAGTGTACCTGGATATTATGCATGTCACAACTCAAATCATCTTATAATGCTGCGAAAAGAGAAAAAATAAAGTACCCTCATTAATAAGACCTATATAACCCGCTATTGAGGATATCTACTACATTATCTCAGTCGAGGGCTACGAATTTATAACGGTAATAATACCGCTGAGTTGAAGGGAATTCCTTCTGGACACAGGGGATAGGGACGATAGATTTGGAATATGCCTATTTATTCTTATTCCATGTTTGTCGTTGCTAGCCCCCGTGTAATACTCGAAGCTAAGAAAGTCCCATACCCCCTCTCCATTACTTACAACCCAGGTAGACCTAGTACTGATATTAATACCCGGCCCGCAATATATATAAAAAAAAACACCCATCTATCGTCGTCAGAAAGCTACGTTATCGCAGCTACAACCCAGGTTAACGTTGTTCGCCATAACCTCGAAGATCGATGTGGGTCGGCACCAATGTGTAAATGCTGGGGTCACCGGCGTTACCATTGAGCGCTGTATATTTGTTACAAATAGCGGAGATGAGCACTTCTCAAATTACTGAACTTGGAGTCCAAAGTGTGTTAGAGTAACTTCCCCTTCTTTTAATTGTTCATTTTATTTCATAAACTTATTAGACTTTGCGGACCATAAATTGGAAGCCCGTTTTCTATTGATTAAAGGACATAACTTTTTGAACAACAATATAGTGAGATCAGGGCCCAGTTGTTCAAATGGTGATTAGCTTAATCAGTGATTAGGGCAAATTTTAATTTTTGAGTAACTTTAAAACACACCAATTGAATGAGTTACAACTTTCCAGATATCAAATGTTTAGTAAAGTGAGTTTACATGCAAAATTGTGATGTTTTACCTTGAAAATTGACGAAATTTTAAAGGTTGAAAAATGTCGTTAAACATGGATTAAGCTAACCACCTTTTGAACAACTGGGCCCTGACTGGTATTATCGTTTGTAACTTGTTGGCGCCCTTTATCTGCATGAAGGCGACTTCAATTAACCATAACGCACATCCTTTAGGGCACTGTTTGTAAACGTTATATCAAGTGTAGTTTGTATCTTACATGTAAATATTACAGTGATAGTTGTTAGATTAATTGTGACGTAACCTCATCCGATCCCTAGGTATAAGTATAAAGGTATGTATGTGCTACAGATTATACAATGAAATAAATTAAACAAATCCGTCATGCTCAAATAAAGGATAAGAACATCATCAACACACTTAGAAAAAGTAGCTTATTTTAATTAAGCGCAGATTATAAACCTTATCAGATTTTGATAAGAATGCCAATTCTGTGGACTGGACCTAGGTAAGATTTATCTACCCCGTTTTCTTCATATAAATCGACTTCAAATCGACTTCAGTTCATAAACAAATTACGGTTGTCATATTGTGCTTTCTCAGATTACTTCTCTATGGTCGAATTCATAAGTGTTTGGTCGTTAACTTGTTCAAATATTTGTTCACCGTTCGCCGAAGATTGCCGAAGTTCGTGTGTATATTCAAAGTGACGCCCTTTCCAGACTGCGGACACGATTAGCTAGGTTAAAGCCCGAATCTATTTCAACAGATATTTATTCTGTCCATTAATACTCTCTGAAATGAGCCTAGTAAATGTTGTCGTCAAATACCCGCGTGTTTGGCATAAAGTCAACAGCGGTCCGACATGTGGACTTTAACGGTTTACTGGTCGACTGGAAGCGTATGGCTGGGCCACTATACCAAACAGACTTATGACGGTTCATGACTTCTAAAGTACAAAATTACATTTATTGAATTATTGTTGAATCGGAGGTGTCTCATGAGAGATTTCTGATGTCATTCAAACTCTTCATCTGAATCTAATTGAATATATATATAAATGTATTGAGTGATCCGACGTGTTTCTAATCTATTCACGAGTGTACGCCCCGACAGTAATGTTTAATCACTGCGTTGACAAGCTTTTCAGGGCACTCGGTTAAGCGTTGTTCTCGGTACTGCCGATTGTAGAAATCCGACTTTCGCACGTATGTCCCCTTACGAAATTAGGCTCGAATGATCTGTAATGTTGATGTCGGGGAGACCCCGAAAATGAAATGAACAACCTCTGACGTACATAAACAAGGATATTTCCCTTGGCCTTCGGTCTCTAGGGTTATTACTTTTCTTGGGTTATGAAATACCCATGTTAACCTAAAAAAGGTCAAGAATTGTATAACGTACAACTGCTGATGTCAGAACACAGAAGATGAAATATACAACTAATGAGGTCAGAGCCCTAGGAATAAAAAATATACAACTACTGACGTCAGAGCCCTAGGAATAAAAAATACACAACTACTGACGTCAGAGCCCTAGGAATAAAAAATATACAACTACTGACGTCAGAGCCCCCGGAAGATGAAATTACAACTACTGACGTCAGAGCCCTAGGAATAAAAAAATATACAACTACTGACGTCAGCGCCTCGAAGATGAAATATACAACTACTGCCGTCAGCGCCCCCGGAAGATGAAATGTACAACTACTGACGTCAGAGCCCCCCGGAAGATGAAATATACAACTACTGACGTCAGCGCTCCCGGTATATGAAATATACAACTACTGACGTTAGAGCCCCGGGAAGATAATATGCATATGTATACCACTAAGATGAACGTTCTGATGTTCACATCAAAGATAACCGATGTACATATGATGACATTAGAGCCCCGAAAATGATGAAAGAGACTGAGACATCGACTAACAATCGCAGATAAACATCTATGCCTATGGAATGATCTGACATGCAAAGATCATACGTCATGGCAGCAACATTTTATCTTGACAGACAGTTACAGCAAACAGAACAGAATCACACATAACTCTTCAATGGAGAAGTTGAAAAATCAGTTTATCTTCATATATATAAGAGCCATGAAGTTTTCCCGGACATATTCACTCCAAACCATAACACTTTACCGTAATATTCAAATTTTAACGGAAACTTATTTGGTTTTAAATCAATAGCGAATGTTAGGAATTGGTTTTATTTTTCTATGAAAGTGAAAACAGCACGTAGATCATTAGTTCGTTAGTTGTGGTCCACTAATCTCGAATTTAAAATTCAATATTTGATCGGTTTCCATGCATGCGGAACGACACTCATATTACATCATGTAAGAGACATTTTCACTTTTATGACCTAGAAACGTATACGACCCAAATAAAATACAGATTTATCATTCTAACCGAACCAATAGGAGTTCGAGTTGAACGTATATCAATCAGCCAATTCTTTCCTGTCTGAAAAAAACCTGTTTTTCATTCTCTAGTTACACCCAGGCGATATATACTTACATGATAATTCGACGCCATCGATGCCGTATACTTCCATTTATAAATCCTCAGAAGTGAATTCTTATTATTTTAATCGTATCCAAAGGATTCCGGAGCTCACATTTTCACGGCCGTGCCCGGAGAGAACTTTCCCTCGTTATACGTCCTGGAAGCCCGGACAGAAGGCTATAGTGTGTTAGGTGTTCTGTTTACACAATGACTGCGCGACTCAACAGATCGGTTTTACATTACAACACTGGTACCAACTTGTTCTTGTCGAAAATACCGATAACTTGTGTTCGGTTTTTTTCTTTCACTTAGTAGGACATTTCCATAACTGGGTTTTTTCATTCATCAGATATGGTTTTCGGAAAGACTGATTTATGCATGTCAGTCACAAAGTTAACAGTGCTTTGCTATTCGTTGTCAACTGTGCGTTGATGTCTTGGCTACAGAGAAGTGCTTTGTACTTTTCTCCCTAACGCTCCCACCAAAATAATACAGTGTAGAGAAATTATAAATTACAAAGGCTTGTTTGAATTTCAATTTATTTTGCAGCCCTAGATATGCACCTCGTATTCACCACAATACTAACACCTTGTCGACAGCATCAAAAGACTTACCTGTATTCGACAGATCATCATCGAATTTGGCCGCCATGAATCATTTACTAGATTACTTGTACTGATTAGGACCTTATATCGCTAACGTGGACTTAACATTGCACAACAGCAGGGGTGGATAGAGAGAGGGTTTCTTCGCTTTAGAACAGACCCCCACCCCCAGACCCACCCCAGACCCACCCCTATCCCTCAACCCCACACCACCAAAACATGGATCCCCCATGCAGCAAAGAGTAGCAAGTTCTTATGTGTATATTTCTTACATAACACAAAGTATTTATTTCTGATAGAGTAACGTGTCACAGGGACATGAGAATTTATTACAGCTACATTTGGACATAAACTGAGATGGTCTGAAGAATTTTACACTTTTTAGTAGGAGTTTGGATCAGCTGAGTATACATAATCATTGGGGCGTTTACCGAAAATTGATATAAACCCCTAAACGTACTAAGACCACCTCAGTTTAGATACAAAGAAACATATCTGTAACAAATTGCCATGTCCCTGTGATACATATATATTACAAAGTACATGAGGTTGGGAGATTTTACTTAGCTGTTGAACACATGTTTTGAGTACATGAGGTTGGGAGATTTTACTTAGCTGTTGAACACATGTTTTGAGTACATGAGGTTGGGAGATTTTACTTAGCTGTTGAACACATGTTTTGAGTACATGAGGTTGGGAGATTTTACTTAGCTGTTGAACACATGTTTTGAGTACATGAGGTTGGGAGATTTTACTTAGCTGTTGAACACATGTTTTGAGTACATGAGGTTGGGAGATTTTACTTAGCTGTTGAACACATGTTTTGAGTACATGAGGTTGGGAGATTTTACTTAGCTGTTGAACACATGTTTTGAGTACATGAGGTTGGGAGATTTTACTTAGCTGTTGAACACATGTTTTGAGTACATGAGCCAACTTTATTACTTGAATTTCTAATTGACGGAAGGAAAATATAAATAATCGAGGTTTGCGGGTTTCAACGTATCGTCCATCTTGATTTCAATTGAGGCTGAAAGATAAGAGCACCTTATGTCATACACCCTCCCCGAATATTAAAACTTGAAATTCCGGTTTTAATAGCATATACATTTAAATGTGAGATAACTTTTAATGATCGATAAAGCTGAAATGTCAGGGACTTCAAAATAAGCACAATCAGATAAACATGGAAAATTTAATTTAATTAAATTTGAACGTTTTATTTTACGCCTTTATTTTAAGCATATCAAGCTTTTTTCAACTGATATCTATTTAGTACCAATGGAGAAAAACGTTCTGGCTACCACCATCAGAATATAATGGCAACCGGAAGTGTAGTTAAAACGACCTATATGGTTATAACGATCAGGGGTTGTAGTTGAAACGACCCTGTGTCTAACAACCCAAAGGTATTGTTATAGCGTCCCGGGTTTTGGTTCTAACAACCCGGAGTTGGAGCCACAACGTCCCGGAGTTGTGGTAAAACCGCCCCTGAGTTATAGCCATTACGTCCCGGAGTTGTGGAATACCGCCCCTGAGTTATGGCCATTACGTCCCGGAGTTGTGGAATACCGCCCCTGAGTTACGGCCATTTCGCCCCGGAGTTGTGGTAAAACCGCCCCTAAAGTATGGTCAATACGTCCCGGAGTTACAGCCATTACGTCCCGGAGTTGTGGTATTTTTCTGATATCTCTTAATTGTGGCTCCGTATCCTTCCTTATTCCGTGTAGTGTGATGCTTTGGTTTTTTTCTCCTTTAGGACGAAGTTCCAGGGAGGGCACATTTTGAGATAGATGAAATGCTGTGACCGCTTACGAAACAAAAACACCAAAGCGTTATGTATCACGCATTCAAAGGGAAATCACGATTCTGTGTTTCTCCGAGATATATATCCTGTTTTACGGTGTGAATTACACGACAATAAAGATGATGAAGCCATTGTTGTGTCGTCTGCTTCAGTCATAATGAAACGCAGGTATGGCGATTGATTTGTTTTCTCATAGGGACGCTCAAAATAAGGAAAATATTACAGAGAGAAACTCGAGCGCGAGAGGTCAACACGACATTTCGCCGTCATGTGACCAACATAATCCAATCAAACAGCCTGATATATAGATGATGTATAATAATAGTGGTTATTACGTGGTTGTCTTTCATTGTTTCGTGTAAACCCTACCAGACAGACATTTCCAATATCATGTACCTATCCTCTGTGGTTACATCTATGTTATCCTTACACTTACAGTGTAGAGATAACATGAACAGTCGTTATGAAATTGATAACAAACATGTCAGTTTCATGAAACAGGAATAGATAGCATGACCAATGAAATATTGGCAGACAACAGCAACATTTAAAAATATACAAAGCAAACTCAATTCAAGCATCGCTGCCTGCAGTAATAGAGTTGCTGTCAGAAAGCAACTTTCTGCACTGAAGTCTATCTCCGTTATAGCCGAATAATGACGGTCGGACAAGATACGGCGACAATTTCCGCGACAATTGACATTTTGCATAATTCCTCATTGACTGTTGCCATCGGCCCATGGTCAATTTCCTGTTTTCAAATATTCGTTCGATATTTTGAATGATTATCTCCATTGGCAACCACGGGCAATGCTGGTACATCGTTGTACAAGGTTTGATAAAACCTTTGATAAACCAATACTGCTGTGTACATGGATTCCGTCTCAAACCACCCAACAACCCGGCGCATGAATATTCGTGGCTGTAAGCGATGAAAAGAAAATCTGTTTGAAAAGCTCTAATTGTGAAACTATCCGCCGGCGCAATATCGACTTACTTCACTCTAATGCAAATTTTGTTTACACATAATAAGGTCCGGAAAAAGGGTCGGGATATTGCAAAGGACTGACAAAGATTCAAAATAACAGAAAAAAAAAACATTGCTGAAAGGGGGTTTATCGATCGAAATCCTCCTACAATAATATCATAAAAACCGTGACTGACCATACTCCGAATGTTTATTATCAAGTCAACACAGCAAACTTATATTACTAACACAGGTAAATTAGAGTTAAAGTTTCGATAGTGTAGCGATACATATAGATACGGTGGCTAATTGAGGACATCCTAAGATCTCGTTATAACGACTTAGTATCTCGTTATAATGAGTTAGTTTATCTCGTTATAACGACTTAGGATCTCGTTATAATGAGGTAGTTTATCTCGTTATAACGACTTAGGATCTCGTTATAATGAGGTAGTTTATCTCGTTATAACGACTTAGTATCTCGTTATAATGAGTTAGTTTATCTCGTTATAACGACTTAGTATCTCGTTATAACGAGTTTGTATATCTCGTTAAAACGACTTAGTATCTCGTTATAACGAGCCATACATATGGGTGTTGTACGTACGAAGTATTGTGTATACGTATGACCGTACGCGTACTTTCCACATACACCGAGACGAGAAAAAAAGCAGTATCACTTACCATCTTTCCTAACGAAACTCTCGACCTCCCCATCTTTCGTCATATTTTCGCCAGTTAATTGTACATACTAAATTATGTAAATTTTCCGATGGTTTCCAAGAGAATTCCACAATCGTGGTGAGTTTGTAATGTGCTTAGTATACAACCTATCATTATTATAAGTACAATGTTTTTGAACTGTATTTATGTGAAGTTTTAGGGCTAGCATTATTATACATACACAGATACAATCTACAACGTACATATACACGAACACATATATATATATAAATGTGTATCGCTACACCACCTAAACTTTATTGGCGATTTATTTCGGTTAGATACACACCCTTGGCAAGTAATGATACAATTAAAATGACATATTCATATTATAACCAGAAATAAAATCAACTAGCCTAGCTCTGCGCTTATATCAACCTTCATAACACCGACAGCTGCAATGACAGACATCGTATGATTTTAAAATAGATCCAACTGGTAGGCTTACACATACATTTAAATGCCGATAATCTAAACAATATCTACCATTGAAATACTTTAAATAACCTTCGACCACGCAAGGTATTGAAGTTGTTTTAAAGTCACCGTTTATATAGGTGGAATATAGACACAAACACAAATATATACAATTACACAATTTTACCATATACTTCGGTTTTGAAATAAATAAAAACTATTGCCTGTCTATACATCTGTGTGTACTAAATGTGTGGACCTTATCGCTAACATGTTACAGATGTCCGTCGGTAGTATATAGCTACTGATCACTCACCTGTCTTCAACCGGCCTCCCAGCGACCTCTGTAAAGTATCCTCGGATCCAACATTCTGCATCTGGGCACTTTTAATTTTAACACAATTTCTTCTTCTTTATTAAATCCTGTTTGGCACAGATGTAGCTCTCTCGCGCGTGTTGCTAGGTACGCCAGTCAGCCATGTTGGTATACGTACAAGCCGGATATCAACAGACGGTATCGGATCGTTAACTATATTGTACGTATTTACTCTACCGATCGACAGCGTACAATGGACAGATTTGTGAACGATTTAAAGTCTCCGCTGCGACACTTTTAATTACTCAGCAATTCTAAACAAATGCATTAAAGGATATCTTAACAGGGAAAACGAAAATAGACGAAATCATTTGCAAGTTATGACAGATTTCGTCA